TTAAACTTCGCTTTACACTACTACTCCAGACGCCAGTCAGTGAAATTTACTTAACTGAAACCTACGGCAAATGATAAATTGCCAATCCCGGATATAACAAGGAACAAGTACTCAACAACAAAACCAGCCGTGAAAGTGGATTAATATCAGACTAACTCGGGTCGGATCCAAGATGACAGTTCTTCTTTCTTAGGATCGATCAGACATTAGACAGTGAACGGAACTGCTGACCTTCGGTAAGCCTCAGTCCAGCACATGCATCAAACGTACATGGATCTTACTCTTGGCAGATGCAAAGGGCACTGTTGGAATCTATTTAGGGCAGTTGAAAGGTCAGCCAAAAGGCTTCGGATGCGAGTTAGTTGTTTTCTCTGGAAATTTCTGATTATTTCTTCTATCAGTCGTCTACGATAGTCAATGCTTCTGAGAGCTCACCGGATGTAAGCCAGTTCTTTTTCGACACCGATGTCGCCTGACGTCTGTTCGAGGCGTCTACTAGCTAAAGAGTTTGCGATGGCACAATATGTGTGTTTGGAACCGAAGGGTAGAAACTAATCCATAAGTGCTAGCCTATGAAATACTTTAGTAACGGACTTGCTCTTCCTCGAGATTAGTGCGTCTACAAAGCTGTTTTGTACACCTCCACTGTGAATGTTTCCTTTCGGGGGCAGGGTGTTGATGTGGTCCAGGAGAGCGTTGCTGTATATTTTCTCACAGATGGCGAATATATCATCAGCGTAAGTTGTGAACAACAGAGGGTTGAATCCTACTGTCAGTGGAGATGTCAATCTATCTAAATGTTTCACAAAGAATTCCGTTATAATAAACGACTACAAAAAACCCATATGTTAACCACTACTATTTTTTAGCTTTTGTAGCCTTTATCCTGCTTTGTCAAATAGTAAAATGTTCCTTCATTTATATAATACCAATGTGTTAAACTGCAATTTTCTTACATTCCTTGAGATTGGTTTTGAACATGCATTCAACCAACGACGACTATTACGAGTAATAAAATAGTATGACCATTAAAAATTGGACTTCCACTGATGGCACAGATTCAATGCACAACAGCCATGCAAACAACAGCCAAAAATTAGTAAAAGGTAAACATATAGTATCATACTCACTACGTAAAACATTAGTGAAAATCAAACGCGGCCTACTGCAGATACAAGGCGATTAGAAACTAACAGAAACATTTAGCACTCAAAAGGTATGGCTGGTCATTTTTGAAAAGAACTCATAAAAAATTTTTTCAGAAATCAATCACGGATGTGGCGTCATGTAGAAGTTCTCTCGTATCTAGCTTACAAACTCTCTTAGAGTCCGATGATACCAAAACACACATGAAATGCAATCGATTTAGTGTAATAATGTAGGCTAATGTTCCATGGTGACTTTTGAGAATGTACTGTACTTCATAAGTACAAGGAACTATACGCTTCCTTGAGACGTACTCGAATCAGACATGAGCTCTGAAAACATGTAACGCAGATTTCTCTGCCTGCAACCGGTTAACTGGCCCTAGCCGCAGGAAAGAGCAATTTATATGACAAATCACAGATGCTTTGCCAACAGGTTAGTGAATAAAACTTTCAGACTAATCATCGTTTAAGCTCCATTAAGCCTAGGAAACAGATACAATCATACAACCACTAGAAGAAACTAATATTAATAATGACTGACTACGGGGCATGACTGGATGCTTCTCATGTGCTAGTTTTACGTGCCTTTTCGCAGATTTAGTCAATTAACTTTTCTGATTGATTTGATTACGAAATCAAACATATCAATAACATGCAACTTTATGGTCTTGGAGGAGTTATTCTTCATATAACATTCAGTTTTATGCATTACCATAAATAATAAGCACAATTATACTAAGCTCGTAAATTCATCAAACCAGGTTAGAGGAAATTACATTACCGATGTCAATGCTCTCAAATCCTTAGGGAGCCATTTAAAAAATCACCATATCCAATAAGCGATTTATCTATTCGTTGTACGTAATCATAATCATCACCATCAGCCTATTCCCGTCCGCTGAAAAATGAAGACCTATCCAAGACTTCCATTTTCTGAAATTTTCATCCATTTTGATCCAGCCAGCTTCATCAACTCATCCTGCTATATATCTGGAGGACTTCCAACGAACAGTTAGCTGACTCTTAAAACCCGGTCTAATGTATCTTTGATCCAGCGAGGTCGGTTCTTCTTACAACGTGTCCTGACCCTTGCCACTTTATCTCCTATAACCGGACAAGCAATGACGTCAGACTCCTGCTCGTGCACCGAACTGTTCATTCGGCTTGCTTTTCTTGTTATTCCATATGCATTTTGTAATCTTCAGTTTATGAATAACTTTACGGCTTAGGCCTAAAGCGCAAGGACAGTTTCTCAGGTAGAAACATTTTCGGTCAGCCAATTACACTCTTCTGTTAATTTCAGAGAATTCGTTTTCCGTTCCAGAGATGAGCTGCTTCAGAAAGACGCAGTTTCGCAACCCGTCAAACACAAGTCTGACCATGAGAAAATCAGAATATCGTTCGCAAGCCGCATGTTGCCTAAGTAATGCTTATTTATGCTCCTCCTCTGATTTTCCCATCGGAGTGTATGAAAATCGCTTCTAGAACTGCTGTGAACATCTTCGTTGATAGTGCGTCTCCCTGACGGACGCTCCTTTTGATTTTGAACTATCGTGAAGCTTAACATTAGCAGTTTCATTCTTGTAAATCATGACGATGAGATTTCTGCACCGCTTTTCGATTCCCTGGCTCCTGAAGGAATTCAGTAAAAAAAGGGCGCTGTACGTAACAGAATAATACAAAGCTCTCTGAAACGCGATATACACACCTATAAGCGAAGAGACCACCTCAAAACACCTTACAAAGTGTTTAGAGCAGTTATACCCGATGAATATTATATTTTTTGGGAAAGAACTTGTAATATTTTCAGGAAATCGTACACATGTAAATATGATCAAAGTATGAAAAGTAGTATCTTCAAAACCCCATTTACTGAATCCATATTCGATTATTTTATATCTGCCATTAGCGGTTTAAAGCAAGAT